CCCCCCCATCTTTTTTCCCCCTTTAACAGAATTTTTTCCCGGTTTTATTTTTGGGGACGGGGTATTCGGTATTTTTGTTTCAACCATCTAGCAACCCTACAACACTTGTCTTAATGCATCCCAGAATCATGTTTGTTTGTTTGTTTTTTGCAAGTGTCACATTGTTGACTCACATTTAGCTTGTCATCTACTATGACCCCTAGATTCCTTTCTGAAGTACTCCTTCCAAGCAATCACTTCCCATTCTGTATGTGTGAAACTGATTGTTCCTTCCTAAGTGGAGCACATTGCATTTGTCCTTATTAAACTTCATCCTATTTACCTCAAACCCAGGGGAGGCCCTAGACTAGCTGCCAGCACCTGGCGTCCTAGGCGAACCATGCAATGCCGTCCCCTCCCCCCCCCCAGCAACCCCAAGGGCAGATATCGACTGAGGGTTTTGGTTCTGTGCTGAGGAGAGGGGGGCTGGGGATGGAGTTCTGTGGCTGGGGGCCGAGGGGCTGGGAGCCAGGGGGTTGGGGATGGAGTTGGAGTTCAGGGGCTGGAGAAAGGGAACAGGGTGAGAGACTCCCCTGCACCCACCTCCTCCCAAGATCCCACCCCCCCAGAGAGAAGCCAGCATGCGCCTCTCCTGGGGCAACCCTCTCTCCTGCAGAGCAGGGGAAACCCCCCGCGTGTTCCTCCTCTCCCGGGGCCAACCCTCCCTCTCCTGTGGGGCAGAGGAAACCCGCCTGCATTCCTCCTCCCCTGGGGCCGACCCTGCACGCTGCCTCTCCCAGGACTTACCCCCCTCCTGGCCACAAGGAAGCCGTGCTCCAGGAAAGGCATGGGAAATGGAAGGGGCAGGGTTTGGAATTTGGCGCCCCATGCAACTTGGCACCCTATGCGGCTGCCTAGTTTGCCTATAGGCACGGGCCGCCCCTGAGGGTAGACAGAGCTGGGCACTGCTATGTGGCACAGTGCAAGCTGGGCCTGCTGTATACCCCACTCTGTTTCCCCTGAGGCTGCAACTTTAAAGCCTGCAGGGGAAGGTGAACTATAGAGTCCTAATGAGTGTAGTCAGAGTGGCCAGCAGAGCACCTGTGGGAAGCCCTGGAGGCCACTTATTCTGAAATAACTATAACTGCCCCATCTACACACACCCTATTTTGAAATAACTATTTCCAAGTAGGCGTTATTCCTCATAAAATGAGGGTTACAGATTTTGGAAAAAGATGCATGTTATTTTGAAATTGTTTCAGAATAATGGGTTTTCTGTATAGACACCCACCTAGTTATTTCAAAATAACACAAGTTATTTCAAAATAATGCTGCTGGGTAGCCATGCCCCTAGCAAGCAACTTCAAGAATAAATATATCTATAGACTATGACACTGGTACTAGCAATTGTCATGCTGACTCAACATCCTGACAATCAAACCTGAAAAAAGAGATGCCAGAGTAATGAGAATACTCATTAGAGTGTAATGACGTACAAGTAAAGAACATGGACTATGGTAAGTCATTCATTATCAATAACAAAGGTACTTCCCATTAGGAGAATGTGCCTTGTACAATGTGGTCTAACAATGTTCCCTCGCTGTTGCGTAAAGAACATTTGTAAGTTCTACAGAAGACTCCATTATACATTAAAGCACATACAGTATTTGTAGGAATTACAACTTTTAACTGAGCTGTACAGTTCTTGGGCAACAAACCGCAGTAAAATCAGGCAAATGCTTATCAGTATAATCAAGGGTTTTTCTCAGGTTTTTTCCATGTATATAGGTGAATGACACTAGATCAGAAAAATGAATGAATGAATGAACGAATGAATGAACGAACAGAGGAATGAAGTTTCAGGCCTTCTAAAAATGCTGTTAAGTTCTTGGCTATGATGCTGAAGGGTGAAAAGCATTATATATTATGGGCATTACGGACTCTCATTCAGCCATTGTATTCATTCATCCTATCCATCAACAGAGAGCAAGGACAGTCCGTGAAGATTTCTCCTGTATCCTTAGAATAGTGATAGAAATGTAGCCGTGTTAGTCTGGTGCAGCTGAAACAAAAAAAAGGACTATGTAGCACTTTACAGACTAACAAGATGGTTTAATAGGTGATGAGCTTTCGTGGGCCAGACCCACTTCCTCAGATCAAATAGTGGATCTGAGGAAGTGGGTCTGGCCCACGAAAGCTCATCACCTATTAAACCATCTTGTTAGTCTGTAAAGTGCTACATAGTCCTTTTTTTTGTTTCAGCTGCACCAGACTAACACGGCTACATTTCTATCACTATTCTAAGGATACAGGAGAAATCTTCACGGACTGTCCTTGCTCTCTGTTGATGGATAGGATGAATGAATACAATGGCTGAATGAGAGTCCGTAATGCCCATAATATATAATGCTTTTCACCCTTCAGCATCATAGCCAAGAACTTAACAGCATTTTTAGAAGGCCTGAAACTTCATTCCTCTGTTCGTTCATTCATTCGTTCATTCATTCATTCATTTTTCTGATCTAGTGTCATTCACCTATATACATGGAAAAAACCTGAGAAAAACCCTTGATTATACTGATAAGCATTTGCCTGATTTTACTGCGGTTTGTTGCCCAAGAACTGTACAGCTCAGTTAAAAGTTGTAATTCCTACAAATACTGTATGTGCTTTAATGTATAATGGAGTCTTCTGTAGAACTTACAAATGTTCTTTACGCAACAGCGAGGGAACATTGTTAGACCACATTGTACAAGGCACATTCTCCTAATGGGAAGTACCTTTGTTATTGATAATGAATGACTTACCATAGTCCATGTTCTTTACTTGTACGTCATTACACTCTAATGAGTATTCTCATTACTCTGGCATCTCTTTTTTCAGGTTTGATTGTCAGGATGTTGAGTCAGCATGACAA